TAATGCTGACCCTGAGGGTATGCGGTTCGCCCCTCAACTGTGTGGCTTACAACCAGGGTAAGATCATAAGTTCATTAAAGATATTGAAAGTGTTAAATGGAACTATAAATGTTTCAATTTAATTTCATGAAATTCACAAAATAAATTATAAGAAACAAATAAATGCTTGTTTTGTCATGATGCATAAATATTTTAAATTTATTCATTTATTTAAAATTTTAAACTCACGTTTTTTGATCAGTTAAGAATTTACTAAATAATTGTTCACTGTTCTAAAACAATTTTAATTTCTAGTTTTTTGCTCAGATTGAAAAATATATTCCCTATAAAAATATAGTCTTATTTAAGCCCATCATTTAGTTTCCTTTTCCTATCTTCAAATATTTCACTACTTCATTATTATCAACTCGTCTCATTCCCAGTCGGCGACATGATCGCCATGGGCTCGCAGAACGGCAGCATTTACCTCTTCCGCGTGTCGCGCGACGGCTTCTCATACAAAAAGGTGAACAAGATCCGGGGATCGCAGCCCCTGACTCATTTGGACTGGAGCATGGACGGCAACTTTGTGCAGACGGTGACCATCGATTTTGACCTGCTCTTCTGGGACGCCAAGTCCCTGTCCCCGGAACGCAGTCCCATTGCCATGAAGGACGTCAAGTGGCTGACCAACAACTGCACCGTGGGCTTCCTAGTGGCGGGTCAGTGGAGCAACCGCTACTACAGCACCACCAACACCATAGTCGCCACCTGCAGTCGCTCCGCCGCCCACGACATGCTCGCCTCCGGTGACGCCGAGGGCTATCTAAGATTATTCAGGTGAGTTGTGGACGCCGTTTCAGTTTTAAAATTGATTTAGGACTAATCCCAGATAATTTTGATTTTTTGTATGAAAAAAATATTCAATTTTGGGAGATTAGAAACCTTGATGTTTTCTTATTTTGATAAAATGTGACTATTAAGTTCTTTCGTTCGTTAAAATACATTTTAAATTTAAATATTTAAAAGAAATAGAAAACGCCTTTGCTTGATATAGAGTCAGACTTAGCTGGGAGTATGATTTTTTAAAATATTTTACTTTGTTTAAAATAACTAAGCTTTTTAGACTAAAATATAATATTTGCAAACTAATTTTTGTAGGTACCCCTGCATCTCGCCACGCGCCGAATTCCACGAGTCGAAGGTGTACTCCGGGATGCTGGCCTGCGTCCGTTTCCTGTGCGGCGACCACACACTCATCACCGTGGGCGGCACAGATGCGTCCCTGATGGTGTGGGACATTGTCGAGGAATAGCTGAAATGGCCACCGTGGCACCGCACCGCCGCCCAGTACGAGGCCAGCTACTCGGACTACTGGCACCGGCGCGCCTCGAGGGTATCCTCAACCGTCCTCGATAGCGACTCGGTGGACTACCAGTAGTCCAGTTGTCCCAAGGAACTCGGAGATGGGCGGCGAACTGCTTGCTAGAATCAGAACTAGACGAACTACAATTGGCCAGCGTTCCGTTTTTGGTTTTAGACAAACAAAATATTGATATTAGATAATTGCACGTATTACGAAAGAAATTCAACATTTTCGAGACGTTTTTGTGAAAAGAGAAAAACCGCACCAGCAATTAGCACCAGCAGTCCAGCAATCCAGCAATCGAGCAATCCAAAAGTCGGCTTCCACTCAGAAATTGAATCTTCCGTTCCGGTCTTGCCATCTGCATTTGTCCCCTACGCTCCACATTTGTTCGAGCCCCTCGAACAAACTCTCCATGCCACTGGTGGATCCTAAACTATAACCCTAACCGACGAAACGACGAGCATATAAATACTTCATCTTCCAGAAAGTTGTCAGAAACTCTTCCGAACAAATGCAGCAAACCAGACAGCAAGTGACAAACAACAGACATACATCTCACCCGAATCACCTAATCACGGATAACGAAACCCAAGTGCACTTCCAACATATATACTTATATATACATATATAGAATGTGTATTGTTATAGCAACTTTTATTATAAGCGTTGAAATAAATAAACAGTTTGAAACGGAGCAAAAAGTGCGGGCAACTTTCCATTTATCGATTTATTTCATAAGGTGTCGGGTCAAACATCGTAGTTCTGGCAACAAACTCGATAGAAATGAAATAACGGCGCCACTGAGCTGGGGCAAAATACCGACCTTTTGAAAATAGGGGGTGGAATGAAGGTCACTTCCTTTAAATGTTGTATTTTGTGTTTACTTTATTCTTTTACACTTATACTCTTTTAGATTGAAATTTTCTTTCTAATAAATCTGCGAGAAAAACTTATTATTTTTCAGCGAAAATACTGATCTAATTCGGTGGAAAATCAGGATATGTGTTTTTGGTAAATATGCGAATTTGGCTTAGAGGCAAACAATTGTCCGAAATCAAAGACAAGAGCTGTTTTGAACAGCTAACAATATTATATCTGGATTCCCGTTACTTTTCGAAAAATCTCCAAAGATTTAAGGTGTTAGTTCTAAATTACAATGGACTGGGTATTTAATTAGAAGATAGAAGAGGTATGATGTTCAATTTTTTGTCTAATATTTCCCCTGTATCGCCAAAATACTGATTTTTTGAGAAAAATTAGAGTCTGTCTTTTAATCCAAATATTTTTTTATAGTTTTAATAAAACTAAAACTCTGCCACAATTATACACAAATTACTGTGGACGGCAGTATACGAAATGAGTTGAAACCCCTTTCTTACTTTGTTAAAAGATTTTGCAATTCCTAATAACCAAAGTTTGGCTTTTTTTTGTATAACCTTTTCTTGCAAGAAAACCATGGTTTTTGTGATTATTTTGAAGATAATAAAAAAAAAAGAAGAAGCAATGCAATAAAAATTTGTTTTTTCCTCAAGGGATTTTTATTCTTAGCCTTATTTTATACCCTAAACAAACAAACATGGAAGACAATGTTTTGCTTAACACTAATGGAAGACAATGATTACAGCTACGAACTTAGGCTAGATTAAAGCATTATTGAAGACATTTTAGCAGCTAGTTTGATATGTACAGTTGGCGGAAGCTGGTCGCTTCCGAGGCACACAAGTCAGTCAGTCTCGTGTTCTCATCATCACAGTTGGAGTTTAAAGCCGAAGTGCAGATTATAGACCTTTCAGTGGGGTCACATCACAGTTACTCGATGGAGGAGGAGGCCCCAAATGAACTTAGTAGAGAAGGCTGATTGCCCTGGCTTCCAGTTGTTCGTTGAGCCAGTTCTGGTGCTCCTCCTCGGTGTCGCAGGAGTAGAGGATGTTGGAGATCGGGATCTCCTTAGTAGGCTTAGAGTTCTTGAAGATCTTTTTGATGGTCTTTAGCAGCTTCTTCATGTTGCTAGAGGCGCCGGTGAGAGATTGCTTCTCCGACACTCCGTTGAAGTTGGAAATAAGAGCTGTTTCGGCAAACATTTTGCTAGATGATAACTGATGATCTGCTCGGATGGAGAACTGTAGTTCGAATGATGCTGTAGGTCTAGTTGCTCGGTCTTTTATACCCGCAATTTTGCAACCACTCTGTGGGTTTCTCCCTACCTGCTCTGCTAAATTCTAGGGGATAAGGGGATGAAATCATGCAGGTAGATCTGGCAATTCGTTACATGATGGGTAAAACAAAGCAAGCAAAAAGTAAAAGGCTAAAACCAACAAAATTATAAAAGTGATGGCCATATTGTTCCATATATTTATGTAAAAGAGGGCCGTTACATAATAACACTATGCAACATCTAAAATTTACCTTGATGGATGGGTAAAGAGGGTATCTTTTAAAAAACTTTAACATCAAAACAAACCATGAATCCTTTTGCCTCTGAGACCTCCCGAAAGTTTGCCAGTTCCAGCATTTTTCAAACTTTGAGGTCCTTGTGCTAAGAATCCTTGCGTCGGCGAACTTTTTGGAAAGCGCTGTTTAACTTGGGAATTCGTAACGAATTCAAAAATGTAGCATCCATCGAGGTAAATTTAAAAATCATTCATTTTGTTGCACAGTGTAATTATCCAGTAAATAAAAATATCAGAATTTTATGATTACTTTGCTGAGTCTTACTAATTCGCTCAAAAAAGAAGTATTAATATTTAAGTAAAAAATATCAAAAGTAAAATAATAAATTTGATGATTGATTTTTATTATATCACTGATACAAGTTGTCTTTACAGTTCTGTATGAGTCTCGGAGTAAATTACCTTATATTTTAGGAAAATTATTTACAATAGCCCACCATTCGGTTGCTTTCGACTATTTTATTTTCTGTGAAACCGTGATTCGTTTTTAGGCTAAAACTTCGTTAGAAAAGAAAAACATTCATTTATCGGTTGCTCAATTCCACACGAGCAACTAATAATTTTGCACTTCCTCGAAAGATTTCTTCATTTTTATTTTAAATATTTATTTATTTTCACATTTAAATGACAATATATGTACGTTAGACGAAAGGAGGGTCCTTGAAAAATTTGTAAAATGCACAGTTTAACTTAGTGTACATTTATGAAGCGGAATTCTGGGTTCGTCTGACAAATTTGAAAGCGTTCAAAATGTGGTAAAGCAATAGTAAAATAATTAATTTCCTGAACCCACCCTGAGGACAAATAACTATGCTGCAGTTCGGTCCCTGTATATTTACATAGTTGCTTTAGTTTAAAAAAAAATTCAACATGAAAAGAACGTCTCTCAAAGTAAGTTAGTAAGTAAATAATATTTGAGCAGCCCATTGAAAATTTTGAAATAATCGTGATTGAATATTCTTCTGTGTTTTTTTCCTGTTTTGCTGCAAACCATACAACGATACTGCATTCTCAGAAAACAAATATTTGACCTCTTAATATTAAAGACCGCGCTATTTACTGACCGCGCTATTTGCCATTTTGTCTAGTGTAGCCTTTATGTATTCAAACGTCCTGACAACAATTCAATGATAATACATTCAGAAATCCAAATGTTTTACTAATAAATCAGAAAGTAGAAGAAATAACACAATTAGAAGTTGTTTTTTTCCTCGAGGGATTTTTATTCTTAGTCTAATTTTATACCCTAAACAAACAAACATGGAAGACAATGTTTTGCTTAACTCTAATGGAAGACAATGATTATAGCTACGAACTTAGGCTAGATTAAAGCATTATTGAAGACATTTTAGCAGCTAGTTTGATATGTACAGTTGGCGGAAGCTGGTCGCTTCCGAGGCACACAAGTCAGTCAGTCTCGTGTTCTCATCATCACAGTTGGAGTTTAAAGCCGAAGTGCAGATTATAGACCTTTCAGTGGGGTCACATCACAGTTACTCGATGGAGGAGGAGGCCCCAAATGAACTTAGTAGAGAAGGCTGATTGCCCTGGCTTCCAGTTGTTCGTTGAGCCAGTTCTGGTGCTCCTCCTCGGTGTCGCAGGAGTAGAGGATGTTGGAGATCGGGATCTCCTTAGTAGGCTTAGAGTTCTTGAAGATCTTTTTGATGGTCTTTAGCAGCTTCTTCATGTTGCTAGAGGCGCCGGTGAGAGATTGCTTCTCCGACACTCCGTTGAAGTTGGAAATAAGAGCTGTTTCGGCAAACATTTTGCTAGATGATAACTGATGATCTGCTCGGATGGAGAACTGTAGTTCGAATGATGCTGTAGGTCTAGTTGCTCGGTCTTTTATACCCGATGGTGGTGCAAACTCTCTAAGGACCCTTCCCTACCTGCTCTCAGCATTCCGAAGGGATAAGGGGATGAAATGCGTCATCGAGTCTACAGGCAGGTAGGGGCACTTTACCTGCTCGGTTGGTTTGCAACGGATTTCTCACATGAACTGCTTTTTGATTGTAGCAATTTATCGAGGAGCTCTCTAAATTAATTGCAATTACTGAGGGTACTTTTTCGGGTTGTTGAGACTGATTATTTTGAAACCAAACAAGATCTGTGGTAAAAATAGAAGGGTATCGACATGAGGCGGTTCAGATCAATAAGGGATTAGAATCCCATTTCACAAATTAAGATTACCCATATTAGAGTGCAGAGTGTATTTCAGTATGTGTTGTATACGACTCATTATTGGATTTGCAATCAAAAATCCTTAAAAAAACATACATATGTATATGCTGCTATAAATAACATATAGTTAGTTATCACTATGGACGGCAGTGTATGTAGTGACGAAGCGCACCAGGAGAGTGTGCGAAGGCGACTACTATTATATAGCCGCAAAATTGAAAATCTGCTGTGATAGTCCGATCGTAATGAGTAATATAACAATCGAAAGGTATTGCAAAAACTTAAAGGATTGCATACCAAGACCTCAAGAAAATTAATTGGTTTGGGAGAGAGAGAGGTGAAAGTGAAAAAGTGAAAATTTCGAATTTTGGAGCTGTTGGGGCCGGTGGGGATAAAAGCCCCCTCGCAATGTTTTAGTTGTATTCCTATTGAAAATACCCGTCGAATGAGGGGTCATATGATAAAATCCGACGCTCCGTTCAAAAGTTATAGCCAAAATAAGATTTTCTTCTTCTTCCCAAAATGAAAATTTAATTCTGTTTGTCAGTTTGTCCAAAATATGTTTTTTTAAGTTCTGAAAATTTGATATGACGTTAATCACATCGATATAAAAAACTTTTGTTCTACTACTTTTGGAAAAACCCGCTAGTTTAGCGGGAAAACAGCTATAAATAGCTAAAATTCGGAAAGCCGTAACTTCTATACTACTAAAGCTACAGACTTGTATCTCGTTTAAAAGGTTGTTTTAAATGCTATAAACGCCTTCTATATGCAATTTGTGTAAATTTAATAGTTAAAAAGATATGAACAAAAAAAAATTTGTTTAAACTTTTTTTTTAGCTTTTTTTTAATTTTCTCAAAAACGGCCCTAACGATTTTCCTTACAACTTTAAACTGTATAGCCCTTGAGATTCCTTAAATTTTGGTATATATCATGTTTATGTAAAAAATCGCGTTTAAAAGTTATTCAGAAACGAAAATTGCCAGCTCAGAACAACTAACGCTTCCTGAGTGTTTAATTTTGTGCGTGGGTATCCAAACTGTATTTTAGGCTCATAGAATCATTTCAATTGTTTTAAGGAGTTCCAAATAGGAAACTTTTGTTTTACGACTTTTGGAAAAACCCGCTGCTTTAGCGGAAAAAAAGCTAGAAATAGCTAAATTTCGTTAGTTTGTAAGTTCTACACTACTGAAGCTACAGACATGTGCTATACCTCGTTTAAAAGGTATTTTGAAATACTTATATCAGAACTTTTGTATGTTGAAGGTGCGATCGTCACTAGTTTTTACCTCGTTAAGAGGTGTTTTTATTTGATTTATGTTAGCATAGCAATAGTAGTTTGCTAAAATCAGTGGCGGATCCAGGATTTTTTTGTGGGGGGTGATATCAGAGCAATTTTTTTGTTGCATACTATTTGATACTATTGCATACTATTTCATTTTTCACCCAAGCAGGGGGTGATATATCACCCATATCACCCCCCGTGGATCCGCGCATGGCTAAAATTAATAATGGCTAAATTAATACCACAGATAAATTTAATTCACATATTATTTTAAAGTTTTAAATGAAGTCAGTTTGCTGAAACATTTTCAAACCGCATTCACAAAATTTTTTTTTACTAATAGGAAAACTTCCTTTAAAATGAATCGGGATTGGTATAATTAACTGAACTCGTAAAACGCTAATTTATTGAATTATAATAAATTTATAATTTATTTTTTAAAAAACTTTGAAATAAGTAAAATCATGTATATTAAAAAATAAAATTAAAGAAATAAGAAAGAATGTTGGAAATTATTAGAAAATGTTCAATCGTGACAACAGGTATACACGATCCCTGAAAATCCCAAACTTATCTCGACTCTAATTATGGAATAATGCCGTAGATATTCATTTATACTGGTACGTTTTATTCTGTATCTTATCCTCCGCTTATCATGCTTATAAAGCGGTCAAACCCTTAGAGAAGAATGAAACACAAAAGCCGATCATGAATGTAACCCATCACATATCTTATCCTGTTTTCATTAGGATACCCACCCAGAAGAACTGATATCGAAATCGAATTCGTTCTAGCAATCCATAATATACACCTTCAGCCCAGCCTCTGCGACATCCCACACTTGAATAGTCTTCTAATTAAGCAATTAAGTTCAAAGGATAATTAGGATTAACGTGAAAATTGCGACTTCCACCGTATCATATTGTAGGAGTATTTCGATTTACTCCGATTTACGCATAACCAAAACTCTCCACATTCCGAGGTCGAAACTTTGTTCGGCCCGAAATGAGCGTAAAACACCAAATAGATCGTGTCGAACAGCTGAAACGAAATGGTAACAGGATGCCAAAAAGCCAAAAGGCAACTCGCAATTGAATTGCAACGATTTGGAACCAATCGATTCGGAGCGATGCGGCCGAGGTTTATTTCTAAGAAATAAAACGAAAAATGAATAATTGTCAAATGTCAAATGGGTTCCGACGGTAAAAACCGTGACGTGACCCGAACAACAAGTACGGATCGCTGGCGAACAGAAGAAGTGTGCAGGATCCTTTTTGTGTCCCGAAAAGGGCTCAGCATGAGTTTTTGTTTATAAGGAATTTTTAGGGATGTAGAGTCAGACTAAACGTTGCATGTCCACAAATACACCCCCGATCCTTTTGCATCCTATAGTGCATATTCCAATTTGCAACGCCTGAACATTCCTGTTCACAATTGCTTCAATGCAGAATCTTCCTTATTTTTTGTTCTCTATTATTCTTAGATGAAAAGTCAGTTACGTGCCCGATGAATAATTGTATTTTGGCGACATTGCCGCCAACTTCTAAGGCGAATCAATTCGTTCCAAACGTTTGCCGAAATGTAACCGAAGCAAAAGTTCTATTCAACATAAAACAAAATAAGATTTCTTAGAACCAAGCACGTTCTCTGTGCAAATTGAAATTATTACGCCAATCTAAATTTGTCCTCAAATTCTTGAGAAATACCTAACGAATTAATAATAGATACCGGAGAATTTAGTAATAAGTTAATTAGGCTTTCTATTTCATGGTACTTGAAATTAAATCTCCAAAGCAGGAACTTTTTTATTTACATTATAAAATAAATTTAAGGCAAAAACATTTTTAAAGATGGTTGGTTGCACAAAAATGTGTTTCAAAAAAATAATTTACATTAAACATACTTTTTAAACATATCCGAAACATTAACGAAATATTTGTTTCTTTTAAATAATTAAATCTAAACAAATATTTAAAGATATTTTAACTGCACTCGATAACATGATTCATCAACCAATTAACATTTAGTTATAAATATCAATAAAGAAAATATCTTGATTTTTGGCTAACTTACTGGATTGAAATTTAATTGTTATAGCAGCCAAAGCCTTCTACAATTTTTTTTTTAAAAACAAATTTTTATGATGTTGAGCTACGCTACCATAACATTTAAATATAAATCCAGTAAGACAGCAGAAATTTAGCCAACTTGTATATTAAGACCTTAAATCTCGAACTTACAAAACATTCTGTTATTGGTTATAAATTAGTATTAAGAACTTTTAAATAGTTTATAAAATGTTCATAATTTGTTTCTTTAAATCTTTAAAATAACAGATTAAAATCGATAATTCTGATCCTATATTTTTCAATTCCAATTTTCGGGTAATTTTATTTTAATTATTTTTGGAGGTTTTGTGTTCAGCAACGGAACAATAAGCAGTCCCGTGAAAAGGCTTCCTTGGTGGCTAAGTGCGGAACAATACTTTAGTAATTATTCAAAATATGAACACCGTAGGGATTATGCTCTTTTCAGAGTAGGAACCCAAGTCAAATGCAGATTTTTGGTAAAAGGGAAATTATTGTTATTAATATTGTTATAATGAAAGACCATAAACATCAAGTCAAATTGTAAGGCGATTTACTTACATATGTAGGTACATTTGGGGAAAACGTCCTTTTCGGTATTCCAATACCGTAGGTAAAATATCGTTTTGGATTATATTAGAACGTAAACCGCACATATTACTACAAGTATCCTAAAAAGATATTAATGAAAGTAATAGCATATTAAACAAAATTTAATAGTCTTTCAACTTTAATTTATAACAACAATATTAAGACAAAGTTCATATTATATTACGTAGTCTTCGAACTTATATTAAAATGCAAATTAAAACAAGAGAGAACGCTATAGTGGGGTGGGTGTCCCGACTATCTGAGCCCCGTCACTCAGCTAGCAGTGCGAGGGAGATATACAACTTTAATCGCAAATAACTTTTTTATGAGTGGTCCGATTTGAAAAATGTCTTCTACATTTCGATAGGTATTTTTAAACACTATAAAATTGCATTTATATATTTTTAAAATCTTAAAAGATGTGGCGCCAGACACATTTTAAAATAAATGATGAAACTAACTTGCGCTGCGTAGGAAGCCCAAGAATATGTGTTGAAAGTCCCAACCTTCTAGCTTTTGTAGTTTCCGAGATCTCAGCGTTCATACAGACAGACAGACGGACAAACGGACATGGCTAGTTGAACTCGGCTAGTAATCCTGATCAAGAATATATGTACTTTATAGGGTCTGAAACGCTTCCTTCTCCATGTTACATA